ACAATATTTTACAAGGAACTCACCAATATAAAGCAAATACTTATAAACTTATAAAACAATTTCCCTAATAAGCTAGTCTACCAACATATAAAACACTACCTTTACATACTAAATATACATAACAGCAACTAAGTAAATATGAGAAACAACAATAAGACTATTAAAGTCTTCTATAAAAATCAAATACACTGCAACTATGATGAACTAGCTATAACTAACCCCATCCACAAATACACTACCCGACCAACAACATAATAAAATAAAATAAATTATATACTACACTAAATTTAAAACCTCTATGAGATCCGTAGACGTATTGGGATGACCAAGGACATTCCAAATGCTGGGCAGAGTATTGCGACACAGGAGGATTTCTTTGGTAACAAAGAAATGAATACTGAATTGTTACGAGACATCTGTCCTTCTTTAAGGCTGAAAATGTTGTAGATCTCCTCAAAGATAAAGAAGAGACTCTGGGCGACGGAGATATGGTTCTACAGAAGGACGCTGAGGATATTTTATGGACCGAGCGTGTGAGCAACGATGAAGTCTTAGAGAGGATGCAAACAAAGAGGAGGCTTATACTTAACATCAAGAAGAGACAGATGACGTTTCTGGGACACATAATGAGGAAGGAGGGCCTGGAGAATCTGATACTCACGGGTCGAATAGAGGGAGAGACAAGGGAAAAACAACGCATGACATACCTATCGGCCTTAAGCAAGTGGATGACAGAACATTGTCTGGGGGTGATGGCCAGAGGAAAGGAACTTGTTGAGAGCTGCATAGGGTAGAAGGAGGTGGAGAGCCATGATCGCCTACGTCCTGAAAGGACACGGCACATAGAATGAAAGGATATAATTGTCCGAAATAATACTACCCCCACTAAACTGTTCCTAAACAAAACCAATGTAGTGTATAGGTTTACTTGCCCGTTTCGAGAATGCTTCTAACATAATAACCCTAGCACATACATTGGACACACAACCACAACTCTCTCACGTAGGCTCACATAGCATCTCAACGACACTAGCGCCATTAAAAATTATCTTGTAACAATACACAGCATCAACAGTAACCCATTCAAATCATCTGACATAAGAAAAATCTTAATTGACAGCACCAAAATCCTCTATAAGACAACTGCAAAAAAAAAAGACTACAAATTCTGGAAGCAATCCTCATAAAAAACCCAACATAAATAAAATAGAATTTAATACGGGCAGAAACATATTAAACGTATTTAATGAATAATCATCCAATGAAAAAACATCAATCCCCTCCTTACCAATAATAAACTAACCCAATAATATCGTCTAATATTATATATGTAAAACTAAAACAATAAATAAGATACCTCCAAACAAAAACAAACGCTGTCATGATGACGATTGAGGACAACCGAAAGCGCTCGTCAGAAAGATATCGACTCGGATCCTACTTTAATAAACTGGGCCCAAACATTAAGAAACTTGCGAGTAAGCAGGAAAAACTGAGAAAAAGATCATCAAGCGGAAGTGTTCCGTACTCTCTAATAACACATGCCTTAATATATATATATATATATATATATATATATATATATATATATATATTTTTATGAATAAAAATGACAATAGGAAAACTGGTAATTGCTGACGCGTTTCGTCCAATGTGGACTTTATCAAAGCAAAATACCAGTTTTCCTATTGTCATTTTTATTCATAAATATTGTCTTCTCTACCGATTAAATCGGAGAAATTTTCATATATATATATATATATATATATATATATATATATATATAGATAGATAGATAGATAGATAGATAGATAGATGAGGATGCTGAGTATAGCATGAAGCAAAAATATGAGCAATGACAAAGTTTTAGAGAAAATGGAAAGTATCCTCAATGCCGTAAAATATTTATAGTGTATTTTCCTCACTCCCTCTCTCCCTTGTCGTTGCTCACATGTTCGGCCCATAGTATCCCAGCATCATTCTGTAGAACCATCTTTCTGTTGCTTCAAGTGTCTGTGAGGAGATTGTCTAGCATTTGCTGCCATACAGGACAGATATCACGTAACAGTTCACTATTTTTCTTTGTTTCCAACGAAATCTTCTTATCTCTTAATACTCTGCTTAGCTTTTGGAAGACATCTTTGGCCATCCCAATACATCTTAGGATCTCAGTGTCGCACATTCCCTGCTATGTTAGAAAACTTCCCGAATATTTAAATTTCTGTACCTGCTTGATTTTAGCATCTCCTACCAGTAAATTGCATTAGGGGCTGATCCTTTTGCTGGTGACCATGTATTTTGTCTTGTACTTTATGCTTAGTCCTTTCTTCTTTCTTTCCTTCGTTATTGTCTGTAGGTGGTTTTGTAGATTCCTTTTCGTATCTGCTATCAGCACTGTGTCATCTGCATATCTTATAATTGTGGCCGCCAATAATGAATCCTGGTGTTATTTCAAGTTCTCTCAGAATTGCCCCGCTGTATATGTTATATAAATCTGTTGAGAAGACACACCCTTTTCTGACACCCTTTCTATTTTCGCATATCTGCTGAATTCATTTTCAGCCCGAATGCGGGCGGTTTGCTGCCAGTAGATATTCTTGAATATTCTAATGTCTTTCTCGAATATGTCATGGTTCCTGAAAAAGCTTTAACAGATCTTTGTGGCATACTTTGTCGAAAACCTTTGTGTAGTCTATAAAACATAACTACATGTTCTACATTTGCATTGCTATTTCTGTTAACATTTTGAGCATAAATATAGCGTTTCTTGTTCCGGTGTCTTTGACGAACTCGCACTGATCTTGTCCTATCTCTGGCCTCAGCCTGCTGTTATGTGGCTCAGGCTGATTGTTCGGTGGAGTTCACATTCGTTTGCGCCTTTGGCAATGCTATGAAAATTTCCGGTATATCACAAATGTTGTAGATTTCATTTATTATTTCTGTGATCTTGTCTATGACCGAAATCATCTAAGACTGTCAGCATCTCTATTAGAATTCCGTCTGGCCTTGCTTCTTTATTTCTGCCCAAATTGGACAGTGCAGCTTCCACTTCCGGTTTTTTCTGGCCTGTCGGTATTTCTGTGTATTGCCAGTTGTTTTCTTTTTTGTTTTATGCAGCCTGTTGATGAGCATGTTTTCTGTCCTGTTAGATCCCTTATTTTTTATGCATATCTCCTTTCTCTGGGATATCCATCCTCTTTAAATCTGCACATTTTTCGTTGAGCCACTCTTCTGTAGCTTGCCTGCATTTGTTCCTTATTTCATTGTGTAGTTTTCTGTATTCCGTTCCATGTCTTGGCATTGTTTTCTGTCTCCTTTGCGTCATGTCGAGAATCTCATCAGTGATTCATTCGTGTTTTTCTTCGCCCATTCTCCTTAGGGATGATGTCGTTTGCCGATGTCACTAAAGCTTCTCTTAGTGTGCCCTATTTCGAGTTTCCATTTGCATTTTGTCTCTCATATCTTTTCAGACTGTCCATATATATTTTTCCTTCAAGATCGAGTCGTTCAGGAGTTTGTTGTATTGCAGTTTCGGTGCTGCATTAGACTTCTTCAGTTTCCCTAGTTTCACTCTTAGTTTACATATAACAGGGAGGT